AAAAACAAAAAACAAAAACTAAAAACAGTTTAAAAAATCAAAGCATAGGTGACACCCTCTTTGATTACAGAACACAGACTTTGCTGCAAACCTCAAATATGGCAATTCCAAGGTGATAACACACACACACACACACACTCACACACACAAACAAACACACAAACACACACACAAATACAGACATACATACATACAAACACACACACACACTCGCATAAAACGCACTATCCCCGAAACGGTAGATGGTAACACGTCTATACAGGCAGATGTCTGTCGACGTGGTGGTGGTTAATTGACATTGAACTACAAGCAACTCAAGGAAAGAGAATAGTATGTTATTGCTTAGACATAAAAGTAAAACGTAAAAGTATCAGGTTAACGCCCATATGAACACTATTAGTTTATTCAAAGAGGCGGGACCTCTGAAATAACTGCCGTCTCTGATGGAACCAAGTCAGACGGATTAAGCGCCTTGGAACCTACATAACGTTCAATGTGGAATTTGAACCACCGCCATCCGCCATCCGCTCCGTGGTTCAGCATGATACAAGCTGAGCTAATGGAGAGCCCAGACGTACACATACGATAGAATAGACTTACATATACTATCACTGGTTGGCACTTGGCTGGGAATGTCCACTGAGCACGTGGCCTCATCCACGTGTGGCTTCTTGGTGGAAGACATCTGGTCGAAGAGATCCTTCAGGTCCTTGCGGCATCGGAGCCCAAAAGACTTGAAGAGGTCTACAAAGTCGAGGAATGACAACTGCGTGGAATGTGTGATGGACGCAGACTTGTCGCCAGTCCGACATCCCAGGGACATGCGCCGTCGACGGGAACGGTAGCGACTCGTGAAACTGAAACAGAAAGACAGATGGAGGATAATTTTGATCTAAATAAATGAAGTACATAAATAAATGAAACAGAAAATGGACTAGTAGCGACTCGTGAAACTAAAAGATAGAGAGACACGTGAAGGATAACTTTGATCTAAATATGAAACATTAAATATACCCGTACTGACTCATAAAACAGAGAAAGAGAGGCAGGGGAAGAAAAACTGTAGATCAGAGAACAAGACCGTGCCTACGTTCAAATTCTCAAACACTGGGTTGTAGGTATGTATAGACCGAGCTGACCTTCCAGGTCAAACTTTTCGGCGACAAACCAGGGGGGGAAAACTGAAATGGTCAAAGGTGGATGTCTACCATCAAGAACAATCTAAAGACCCAACTCCTCGTCCAAAAACCAGGAGCAGTGCAGAAAAGCTCAAATGGTCAAAGGTGAAAGGACGAAGGTGAAAAGCAAAACGCCAAAGTCTACCATCAAGAACAATCTAAAGACCCAACTCCTCAGCCAGAAACCAAGAGCAGTGGAGGTTAAAGATAAAAGGGGTATGGCCGAAATCAGAGCAAACGACCTACCTGAAGGTCAGACTCCGCGGGCGGAATCCTAGAGTGGGACTCCCGCGGGCGATCTGGTTGAGAGTGGGGTCGCTGTTGTGTGACTTGTTCATCTCGCTGCGTACCTTCCGCAGGGGGCTCGGGGTGCGTTTGGACTTTCCTGCGGTGCTCTTACCGCTGTCTACAGGGGCAGCGGTCTGGGTTTGGTTGGCGCCTTTGGAAGCCTCTGACTGCTGTGACACAAACAGAAATAATGCAATTTAGTTTTTACGTTATAACTTAGTTTTTGGGACACCTGAATAGACACAAGGGTCTTGAACATCTAGCTCTTACTGGCAAAATTGAGGGCAAGCGAGGCAGGGTTAGGCCCAGAACAACATACATAGGGAACCTAAACAAATGGGTAACAGGGAAAGATCAAGGAAACGTAGCTTTTTTGAGAGCATCCGAGCAAAGGAATGAATGGAAAACCATGATCGCCGATGTCTGTCGCAGATCTGGCACTGGATGATGATGATGATAACTTTTGCAATATACAACATAATATCATTTCTCTATATCAATTGCTTAGAGTAAGACTACGCCATATGCCACTTTGAAAAGTTACGTTATGATTGAGTCTTTCACTGAGCAGTCGATATTTAACATTTCCTTTCTAAGGCTAGGGGTGGAAGGGGGTTGGGGACATTTTGCTTTATTAAGTCCCATGGAAGCCAAATATCAACGTAGAATGGTAAAAGAGTGTGTCCATCACTTAGAGAGAAAACGTTGGACAAGATGCTATTTGTTTCATACTCGTACGCGCACGACCTAAGGTTGCTTTTGTTATATTTTTAGAGAGCTGCCATCCTGTGAACACTTATACTCTTATACACTTCCACCCCCCAACAAACAAACACACTTACATTCACATAAACACCCCTATCATCAAAAGCCAACACACACACACACACACACACACACACACACACTCTCTCTCTCTCTCACACACACACACACACACACACACACACACACACACACACACATCTTCCATCTTTTTTCCATCCTGATAGTCAGACGTCTACCCTGTGTTGCAGCCAACCGATGTACCCAGTAGCCCCACCCATTTCCCATCCCTATAATTTCTTCGTGTCCTCTCTCCGATTACACGCATTGGCCGAGGGTTTGAAAGGAAGCGCTTTTTGAGGGGCTTTTCTGCCAACTTCTAAATCATTACAAATAATAGCTCAGTGGGTTCGCTGCATCGTCAGTTCATGATTTAGTGTTCCCAGCTCCCCTGTCAGGGAAAACGAGAACGTCTGGGTCAGTTCTGGCTTGTCTAGGCATCGTTTGTACACGGCTGCCGTAGGGGGTGGAGGCAGGGAGGGGAGGGGAAGGGAGGAAAAGGGAGACACAGAGGAGGTGGAGAGGAGGGCAGGGGAGTGAAGTGAAGAGGGTGGGGGAGGAGTTGGATGGATGTGACACGGGGCAGAGACAGCGCCAGGAATAATAATATAACGAAAAGATGCACTGCATGGACTGATATATATATATACTGCAAACTTCTATTTCTTCAGTGTCAAGTTTTTATTTCGCTTTCACAATGTTGGTAATGGAACCATTTGCACAAAACACTGCAAATAGTGCTGCTGCTGCTGCTGCTGCTGCTGCTGCTGCTACTACTACTACTTCTGCTAGTGATAATGATGATGATTACGTTGATACGTTTTAACACCCTCTGAAAAGAGTCATAGAAGGTTATTCGGGGTTTAAAAAGCTCCCAAAACAATAATGATGTAGGCATTAGGACCTCCAACCAACTACACGCTGGCAATTAGTCTTCAGTGAAAAGGGGTATGGGGCAACGTTTAAAAAAAGAAAAATTGACAATCAAAGACATTTTCGTAAGTTCATGGAAACATGATTAAAGTAAATCTCCACGAGTACCTAAAATTTCAGTCCTAAAATCAAACCAAACATTCGGTACACTTCAGCCATCGCGTGTACATTGAATCTCCACAGCCACCGCCAATTGATCTAAAACCTAAGTGCCCACTATCACGTCATTCGCGATGAACGTTGCTGATCCCACTGGATAGGGCAAGCTATATCTTGTATTGATTTATAAGGAACATCGTTCTTAGATAAGTAACTTTCTCTTCATCTTCTAAAATAAAAGAAAAAAACCCGTAGATTTTGCGAGTGGGAATAACACTGGAAATAGTAGCACAAGGAATTATTGGGACTCGATCAGCCTGGAAGATAGGAGCATAAGGGAAAGGGAGGGAGGGTGAAGGGATGAAGGCAATATAAAATGACCAAAAATAACTCGTAAGTTCACAAAACTTACACGGTGCGTATAGGCGGCTGATCGATAGACAGTGACGTAACTGTGGATGACTCACTCTCACACACACACACGCGCACACACACACACACACACACACACGCACGCACATACACACACATACACAACCACACAAACACATGCACATGATTGTAAAATCTTACTACCAATGGAGCTAAGGCCAATATTATATAATTTACACAGAGAACGAAGGAGGCTGGAAGAAAGACAGAAAGAGCGAAAGAGAGAAAGAAAGAGAACAAATATGAGAGAAAGAAAGGAAGAGAGTGAGAAAAAAAAGAAAGAGATAGATCTAGATAGAGAGAAAGAGAGAGATACATAGATAGAGAGAGATAGAGAGAGAGTGTGTGTGTATGTGCGTTTGTGTGTGTGTGTGTGTGTGTGTGTGT